GGTGTGGTGAAGAAGCCTGTAGTTGCAACTGTTAAGCCATTGTTGAATGAGGCGTTACAGACGGCGCCGCAGTTCATGCAGAAGGAGAAGGTTACGGTTTCACAGTACAGTTTTGATTCCACAAGTTCACAAGGTATTATGACTTGACTTGATTTTCTAACAGAATACTTTGATCTGTTATTTTTTATTGTAAGTAAACACTAGACGATGTATCAATTCTGAACAAAGTATTACGCTCACCTATTATTTCATGATTATGTTTGCTTTAAAGCGCAAATTTATTCAAATTGACTTTGTCCCTTCTATATTAGAGATCATACCACAAGTGAATTACAAGTTATAACATAAACAAAAAATGATTAATTTCAAAATTTCAAGTATTTCGAACTTTGCGATGAATGGCTGAAAAATCCATTGAAACTTTGTTCCATCGCTGAATTTTTCAATTATATTTGTGAAGGATCGTGTGTATCGGAAGATCTCCACTCACACATTACCACATGATGAAATCAAAACAATAATTCTGTTTAATAAATTAGAATAGCGCTATTGTGACACGAAGTCCACCTTGAAAAATTTAATGTATTTGAAAAAGACTTCGAACAATTTGCTAACATGACTGTGTGTCGTTTCATTTATATGAACATGGAGAAATATACTAGCGAACAGACTAAGCGAAACAATAATAAAATAAGGTGATAATACTGCTGAGTATATGGCAGATGAAAACCAGCAGTAATCCTGGTATAATGCGCGAAGGTTTGACATAGTAGCTGACTATTTCACAGATTTCCTAAAGTGTGGAGGAAAACGCCATTGAGAGTAGTATCTTAATCCCATAAAGTAGGATATTGTTTGAGCTTTATTTATGAAGAAAAGTTAGGAAATCGTGAAACTCTTTTACATCACCTTACGTATTCCAAAACCATAATTAACAAATACTGTTTCGAAACGATTACTGAAAAATGACTGCTTGGAGAAAGAAATATTATTCTCATAAGGGAAAACAATAGGCACAAAAATAGACTTTTGAATATTAGGTTTAGCTGAACAAAGGAAATGAGTACAGATCATTCACAAACCTGCTATCCAGCAGGTGATGACAGTGAGCTAAACGCCATATTGCATGAATGAACATGCACAAGTGTGCTAACGGATATAGAGTTTTGCGTTCTTCTCATTCCTCTATGGGTGTGGAACTGTGAGAAACAAGAAAGTACCAATGAAGATATATATATATCCCCTGCCTTATTAATAAAGACTATGAGTCGAGGTTTACACGGGCTTTTATGTTTTCCATTTCGCAATTCTTAATCAATGGTGCAGGTTTATTGATAAATTACGAAATCAATATTCTTTCGGCAACTAATGAATGGTGAACTGAACTGAACTCGCGTATTCAGAAAGTGACTAATGAAATTTTTCCTGTACCATTTTGAATAAGTCAATCGGTCTCACATTCGATATTTTAATCATGCTTCGGTTGATGGTGTTATTTCATACACTTCCTTGTTTCTGACTACTTACACTCAATAGCTTACTGTCTGACTCCTACTCACCTTATTTGAATCGCTTATCTCCATATAAACTACATAGACTCTTATGATTGTCCACCTCCATTTTGTGTGCGATATCTATTGCTTACTGTAGGATATTTGAGAAGATAATCGACAAAAACAAACAACCTTTATTTTCAGGTTGATAAGTTGAAGAATGTGAACTATTATCAAGTAGATATAAAATTGTCTACAAAAACGAACAACCTTCATCATTGATGGACTAACGGAGTTCTGAATAACTATTTTTAAAAGAATGATAATATGATTCTACAATGATTTGTCTATTGAATATGTCACACGGTGAAACAGTATAATTTATCGATTTGAACTACACAACTTCGAATCTTGACTTCTGCAGTTCTTCTTCACTTCTCCTTTCTCCTCATATGTCTTAGGAGCAGTAGAATTTTCTGGATATTTGGGACATGTGTTGAACCATTCCCACCTCACGTATTCTCAGATGCTTCGATAAATAAACCTTAAGCCTTCAATCTACAAATCCAACCTTTCACATTCGATTTTAGGTCAGCCGTCGAATCCCATCCTGTTTTGTGGCTGTGTAACTTCACATAGTGCTACAGCTGAGCTGTTAATTAGACTTATTATCTTATTAGGGTTAAGTGATCTACATTTGCCTAGGCCTGTGTGTCTCACAGATATAAATTAATCTATTCTATTACAACGTAAAGACTGAATAATGCTGAAGAAAGATGATTCAGTTACTCGAAGAAGGTGTAAATTATCCTATAATATATCTTTGATAAAGCTCATAACATTTAACTGTCAATTTTCAGTCCAAACGATATCATTCACTGAGAAAAACAAACAGCTTTATAACAATCAATATCATGCATCCATTGCCCAAATGTCTTTACGACTATTAAACATCAAATTGGTTCGGACGAAATTGACTACTCAAGTTATCGAAGATATAAAGAATGTCAGTCTGTTAGATTTAGAAAGTGGTAGATGTCCTTCATATACAGTGAGATTGATCTGTTCAGAGTTTTTAGAAAAGGAACAAGCTTACATCGATATGGTGCAAGTAAAAACGAGAAAATCTAAAGCGTTTATCAAGAGACAAATGAACCAACGCGTAACAGGGTGAAATCTGTCGCAGTTAGAGACAAATGTCTCTTCATGAAGCTTCGAACTTTGGAAAAGAACCATCGGGGAATTAGAGGGAGAACAGTGAAAGCACCTAAGAAAGCTATTAAATGAATCCTCTCTCATTGTCTGTACAGTTGCAACTTGCATACATTTTGTTCCACAAGCTGACGTAGTTAGCATTTTGTCTAACAGGACTTAGTGATAGATGTGAGACTGACAGCTGATTTTATTTTTTTGAAATACAATATGAGGATTCACAGGTGTGCAGGAGGTGTAGAACAATCGCAAATGGCATAGAAACCAAAATCACACAGGCCTCGATTTATGGTTGTGTGTCATGTCGACTAATTATTTCTGACAAACGGGTGTGTTCAAGTGATGCATAGCAAGAGAATGAAATGTCACTTTGTGAATGAAGGTTGAAGAAATTGAGGCAACAGCTAAAAGGATAGAAGTGGAAGAAATTCGATGATATATACGGAAGTTGGACATGCCCCTCCTAAATACATAGCTCCCACCTTTCCATACGATTAGTTAGGAATTCGATTGTGTCTATATTTATGGTGTGGATTTATGGTACTCGCAATAGATCTATTGTTCATATGCTTCAAACTCCAGATTATCTGTCAGCCGAGATATAGTGACAGATATTGACGTAGTGTCCGATTTTAACACTCACGACTAAACCAGCATCATCAACAAACAACCATGCTATGTAGCCTTCGCGAACCCGTTTTGAGAGGACACAGAACCACCTAGATACCTACCTGGCTCAACAGTATCCAGTTTCAGTCCCATATTTCTCGCCATTGAACTAAGGAAACCTGATATCGTCCCAAATATAACTTGATATATTTTGACATGACCAACTTCAGTTCAAAAATTTATTTAACAGTCTCTTCTGGTATGATGGATCATGCAGAAATATTCGCCCCAGCTGACACAACTCACTGGTAGCAGATATCGGTTTGCTGAAGAAACGAAATCTGCACCTTTAGATGTTGGACACAATACGTTGATGACAATGCAAGCATGTTCTATCGGACAACGTTATCCATTGTGCGTGCAGCTCAGCTAATATCTCTGACTGAAATACGATATGATTCCATCTGCGCAGACTGTAGATGCAATTAATTGCCGGTGAACTCGAGAAACACTCACAACAGAACTATTAATACTATTATCACTATTATTGATCACTTCTTGCATTCCTTCTGGAATATTCGGTTTCAGTCGCGCATTCTCATTGCACCCAGTGCAGTTCATAGTGTCCTTAAGATTTTCTGAATGCATGAATTACAGAGCAGCGTTAAATTTGTCCAAGTATAAAGAACACAAAGATTAGTGAGGCGTATGAAATGTCCACCACTAGGATATATACTGCAAATTGATTTGATGGGATCCTGCATTTCACTAAATAAGCGTCTTACTGAGTAACTATTATGTATTATCCTTGGTAATAGATTTTTAATGGTATGCAACTATAACCAATGAAAATCAACATGACAGTGGAGGATAGATTATTGGTGCATCATTATAGTACAGGTAATCCCAGTCAAGTGATGTGCTACCTCTACTAACTAGCGGCTACCGATTAGTCCTATTATCAACAAACTATGATCCTCCTCTTTTATCCTCGAAACATGCATCTATTTAGAACACATGAGGAAGTGATGCCTTACAACATTCCTCGGACAACGTGATCATGACCGCCAATCATTTACCTCTAAACCATGTATTATGTGATGTGACATGGCTGACTTGCATGTACAACCTGAAGAGAAGCCATGTTAAGTTCACCACATCATCAACGGCGCCCACACTAACCAATGCTAGTCCATCACGAACAAGTATGTCTCCTGAATGTCACTAACCACTTGTGATATGCCGAATAGTCATTTATACTGGAATTATTGGAAACGTGGTGCATGTGAATGAATTTAGGCGGTGTTAGTGGATATCAATTTCGAGTCCAGAAACAACTGATGCTGAAAATGCCAATCATTATGCACTGATTTGAGACAAGCGAGACCACCATTTTGGTTTTTCATCAGTTTCGATTAATTCGGGTTCGGATCAGTGATAAAGATGCCTGTATGTTAGTTGAAAATTACATTCTCCTATTCATTTCAAAACCGTGTATGCTGCTCTAAACTCAGAACTGTGCTCACTACATTTGTGGAGTTTGTAGAACACCTAGAAATAAAATCACTTGTTCAAATAAGAAGGTAGTAGATTACTTTCCGAAATTTGTTTATTTTCAGTGATTCACGGGATCCAGTACAACGAGGTTTAGTCATCGTCAACATCAGCTAATCTTATCTGTGACTCACCGAAATCGAATACAGTGTAAAACTTGCTCATGAATACATCGCCGAGAACCCAATATCCAGAGGGTAATTTATCATTGCTGGCAAAAGGTGATGTACAGTCTGTATACAACCAGTTTTCCTCCTAAAATCAAAAATACAGTGAATTTTAGTCACTTTCAGACTTCCTGTCTTGTAAAGAAAATTGAGAACAATCTTAGTGGATGTCGAATTCACCTACTTCTACAGCCAACTCCAACTGACCAGAACACAAATGGTGTGCGTTCCCATGGAGTTGACTCGAATATGCTGATAAAATGTGACGGTTACTTATGTAAAATAATGGAAGCGGATGAAGTTGTTCAGAATTATTTGAGATTGACAGCATTTTCTAGTGAGATGTCAAAAAAAGGAAAGTGGTGAGTAACTGTGATAATCTGAAACTTATTTAATAAGTTGGTGCTGGTGACTCCACAAATGAATTTTAATTTTTCTGGTGATTCCTTTCATTCGTGATATATGAGTTAACCGACTGGATGGAAAGAACGCCGTACAAATCATATTAGAAGCTGACATTTCACACAGAAAGCCGTTCACTTCTACAGACAAGTGACTAAAATCAATCCACACTGGTTGTATGGATTTCACAATACTTGGCTGTCTGTTGAATGAAAACTAGTGAAACTGGTGAAGATGTTTTCTCAGTGTGCTGATCACAACAGAATCAGAAAGTTCAACTGAGTGATTATACTCACCTTAAGCACGTAATCCTTCGGGCTAAGTACATAGGTCTTCCTCCTGAAGACAAACTCAATTGCAGGGAGCATGTGAATGTAATTACAGTCGAGTGAATAACCCCCATCACCACTCCATTTGGCACCAAGATGATCATTCATCACATCCACCGCTCTGCTATGTCCCAGTATCAAAGACGTTCCAGTATCTATAATACCAATGCATTTTCCAAGGCAAAAATCTGCTCCACCTATCTTCATGCTAAACATGGTAAAACAAACACAACTGAAACACTAACCAGTCTATGCAGTGAAGGGTGTATTGATATAAATTAATCCAATCACAAAACCACTCAGACGCAATGGGTATACTAAGTTCTCCTCAATCATCTCCACACAAATACACAAATCCCTGTCTGTTGATTAACTTTCAGCTCTCATCAGAATTTATTGCACTTTCACCCAATAACAGCCTTCACTAAATCATTCTAATGACTTTCTTCACTGGAATACTCGTGAACATATACAAACCATGCTGAAATTACGCACACCATGAAAGTTTCTACTTGAGATTGCTCAAGGCAAATTGACTACACACTATCAGCATTTCAAATGGCATTCGTTTCCAGATAAACCACTCAGGTTGTCAACAGATTAAAATCAAATAGATGACACTTTCTTCGATAACTCAGTGAAAGTTGGCCAGTAAGTAGTCACGCCAGCATCTGTGTGTTTATCGCACGTAGAAATGGATAGTCAGCATATATGATGTTGTTTGGTAGAAGAGGAATCGGTTTTCATGTGTTGAGGTGATGGTGGTCAAATGACTGCTTTATTTGTACTAGAAGAGAGTATTTCAGGTTCAAACCAACTGTAATAAATTAGGGATGCAGAATAACTGTCCACTAATTTGCCATCTGGAATTATCAAGGCATATCTCATCCAATAGACTTTTATTTGAGTGTATGACTTTTATTACTGGAAAAAGTGGGAATTGTTGCGTGTATTAAATATACTTTGATTAGAATACATAACTGTGACAACCACTCCACACTTCCTATGGTCTTAATGTCCACTTGAAAAAATGATATGTTTGCCTATGAAGTCATGCAAGCATCAGTTGACTACCTTTTGATTATAACAGACCAACGGTTATGAGAAACGACAGGCAAGTTTTCGAAATCTCCAATAAAATATTCAGGATTGACACCACCAATCACCATCTCTCCACCGACATGACCGTTCTTTCTACAAAATACAAAACACAAAAACTGTGCTTAGCTTACTTGGTTAGAAGTGAGTTCAATTTAGCCTTCGTCCAACATAAATTTGAATGGTGATCATGATAAACATGACGCGCGAATTTGCATGAAATCACAAAATTCAATAGTTGCCTCCAACACATCACATTTCAGTGCCATTCAAGTTGCAAGTGAAAACGATGTAAGTTAAGACAGTACTATAAGGCACTATTATTTTCCAAATATAATGTCATAATTGTGCACACTTTCAGCTCAGTGTGCACTAGAAGACACTACTCATGTCAAACAATCGTCGCGAATACACTGGTAATTCAATGTCTGTAACAGCAGATGAGGAGATAGTTTCGAAAAGTCCATTGAGAATGATCACACTGTACAAATGGAAGAAACACTATCGTCGATTGTGGCGAAACCGAAGAATGTATTGGATTTGTTTTTTGGCCCTAAAATATGTGAGCACTTCTGTAAATCACTGTGTGTATTGTTTCTTGAGAAAACATCTCGAGAGGGTAGCAATGCATCTAATTTCACGCAGGAATAATTTTCGCTCAGCTATGCATCAACTTTGGAGCTAATAATTGATTGAGGGATGTGTGGAGATAGATTACTGTATTGAGGCAATTCAATGAGTGTCCATAATTATCTTGCTCAAATGGAGCAAGTCACATACACCCTGAAAAATGCATTTGTCAAGTCTTTCTCCATACTCTTATTCGAATATGGTCTAAAACTACTTCCTGTTTGATGGATCCCAATTTTATTTTACGGTGGAGATTCATCTTATGTATTCATATAAAGATGATTAAACCTATTTCCTTATAAGTGGATCTGCATTACGAATAACTAAATATCGAGTCACATTAGTCACACCAGATGGATATGAATGGCAGAGAACTACTCATAAATCTAGTAACTATCAGCCGTTGATTGCAAGTGTAATACTACCATGATGTAATTTAGAACCTACCGATTCAAATAGAAAGAAAATACTGGATCCATATCCTTTGACTGAGAGAGTATATTCGGGAAGAATGGAGTGTTCCCATATCTTGACACATTTCTTCTTGACATACCAATGATTCCATCATACTTACTACCAAAGAAATCATCGGAAAACACATTTGTCACTTCAGCAAATGCCTGATTGCGAATAACTAAGGAGTTTATCTGAAACCAATGTCACTTCAAGTCGTAAAACCACAATACCTGCATTGTATCCATACTCCAAAATCCAGAGTAACTGCCAATCAGGTAACTTATATTAAATTTGGTACCATTTGACTGGTAGGTGGATGATTTTGAACTGTCGTAGAATCGAATGAACCAACATGGAATGTCGAGAAACCAACATTTTCTTGAGGGGAGCCAAGTTTCGGTTGATCCTGTATCGAAGAGTACACGAAACTTTTGTGGTGGCGTTCCCACTAGTAATTCTCCATAGTACTGAATCTGAAAAGGATATAATGAACGCGAGATTTGGAAAATCGCCTGTCATTTCAGTGTCATGATGGACTAGTCTACATTAATGACAATAATAAGTGGTTTTAAAAGACTTCTACCAATATTTCATTATTGTATCCATGTGTGGAATACTATTAAAGTGAAAGTCATCGAAATATTAGCAATACAGCCTGGAAGATTTAACAATTCAGGTTATGAAATCTGATCAAAGAAAGAATAGAAGTAAAGCAGTGTGCAAGAGTACCAATCCGTCATTAAATACTTTTATTTTGTGTCACGGTGTTGCGGTATTATTTATTTACATGTGACATCTAAACCACGGTGTACTGTAGACTATCGTGTCACATTAATATCCAGTTTGTAGGCCTGATGAAAATTGATTGAACCGCTAACAATGAGAGACAGTAATACGTAAACATTCTCCTCCAATTAACACCTACTGGTGATATAGTCAGGGGAGAAAATCACAACAGCTTATTTTCTTACTCAAACAGTAACAACGAAATCATTTTAGGTACCCTGATTCTGCATTCAGCAAAAAATATTTCAATACTTAGACTTACATTGTTTATCTGGTACTGCAGATTCAGATATCACTCAAATCAACAAACATTCGCTTCATTACTGAAAGTCAACTTACATTGCCATAATTATATAGCAGTTCTGATGTTGGTGTATCTGCGCCATTCAATAAATTCACCCAACTTCGTTGTAATACCCTGAACAGTTTCCGATATGGATTCAGCATTGAACTGATTCCAGTCACTGGGTGCAATGGAATCTTGATAATCTCAGAATTCACCTGACATAGACAGATGAGAAATATGATCAAATTCATTGCAATGAATATCAGAAGGAGATGCGAAAACGTTGACGATGTCTTTCTGTCTAAATGTGCATACTCTTATATTAACACGCTAGTAACAATGAAATTTCTGATTGGAGATCACTGTGATTTTGTTTGTTTTCAGTATATTATTAAGTGATGTTTGCGAATGATGGCAAATATAAACATGCTTCATGAATAACTAAGTATAAACGATGTACGTACAACTGAGTTCTCTTAGCATAATGGATTTGAGATGTGTGGAAAGATATTTGATTTGTGTAATTTCGAAATTCTCTTTGAACACTTTAAATAAGAAATATTTAAGTGAGCAATTGTTTTTTCAACAACTTTGCCTTCGGTTCGAACAGTTTCAAATCTGTAAACATTTCCATCAACTAGGCAGAGAATGCGGATACATAACCTTATGAATAATAGCGATGTAACTGATAGAGTGGAATCGGTTTGGTTGAAAAGATGGTGTTGGTTTTTATATTAATATTAGTGTTTACAAAATATGCAGGTAATGCAAGTAGAAGAGAAGATAATAGGTTGTCTCGTGTAGGAACCGTTATACAAGCTTAGAGGAATGAATAATTAGAACTGAATAGAATGATAGTGTGTGTGAAATTAACCAGTAAGATATGCATGATTACCGTTCAAATGGTGGCCAATAGTATCAATAATAATGATAATAATACTCAGCACTGAGAACCGGAAAGGCGTTTCATTCTAGTTCGAGGCTCTTGAGTGGTACACATCCCTGGTAGTTACATGTACACCGACAGCTGACACGACTCGAATAAGGAATCTCTGATTTGTATTGGTTCTTCAACAGATTTCAAATCATTATCTTAGAATGACACGACAGCAGCTATAGTCAGAAAGCATTATTGATTCTCGATTTGCCTCCGTACCGCCCATCAGTCTGTTGTCAGTTTCAATTTTTTAATTGTAAAAATTTTATATTATTTAATCTCATTTAAATCCTCTAGTTTCATGTCGTCCTATCTCCGTAAGATTAAATTCTGTCTGGACACATTTTATGTCAGCTTTGATGTTTTCGTCGATCAGGTAATTATCCAGAGTAAATATCTTACTTTAGTCAAATACAAAATGTTCACACAGAATCAATTCTATTTCTGATTAAATACTGTCTTGCATTCACAAACAAGTCACACTATCCTCAGCTAGTCACATGCTTTCGTTGTTCTGACATAGTCGAATTCTACCTAATTTACCAGTAGTTTCCACACGTCTACTTCTTGGAAATTGTTGAAATGAATGGTTAGTGAGTGTAATAAAATCAGCATAAGTTATCATGCAAATAATCAACAAAGAAACACCAGGCTGAGTTGCAAACAGTTTCAGGGAAGCTGAGTGTTCATTTTGCTACATTCACCCTGTTATCTACTGAGCAAATTAAAATATGTTTGACGATAGCATACTTTGACACCATCGATTACCCGATGACTTCTATAAATTCATTCAATATAAGCAGGATGAATAAACATAAAAGTACTACGAAGTGATTTGTAAATTTGAGAAGTTGAAGTGAACAGTTTCTTCCCCCCGCACACTGTTTGACAGTTCATACACCACTGCTTATCCGAATAACAAGTGGATCAGACAATCAAATCAATACATGGTGACATATGTGGTGAAATCATTGATTGAAGTATTGTGAGTGAACACACATATCAAGTTGACTGATGTATAGACAACCAGGAATCCAACAATGATTACAACTTCACTTTGTGTGTTGACTTAAATTCGAATAAACAGGATATGTCTAAACTACGGTAAAATATTAAACATAAAATATGAAATGCAATATACAAACCTCGATTGTGATGTGTCTGTGTCGAAAATCACAGTCAGTCTGAGTCAATAATCCAAAAACAGTAGAGCCGTGTCAAAGACGATCCACGTGTTATTTAAACAGCTTGTTAATGCCAGACACGGAATAAAGGGATGCGAATAAACAGTGTTCAACAGTAACGAGTACAGAAATAAAGAATATAGAGCAAGTAATGTTCAACTATAAGAAATTAATTACCATGCATCAAAAAGTGCCCAAATACATTAGGTGGGTTAAACCTCGATCGCAAACTAATCCGTCTTTACTAAGTAAGAAAATATAGTTTCGACTACTTACTAATGGCAAGTAGTATAAAGTTGAACACAAATAGAAGATTTGATAGTGTGGAAAATTCCCATATTATGAATTAAAAGTCAATCTCAACCAAGAATATTCCTTTCAATAATTTCTCCTCTTCAGGTTCTTACAATTATAAAATATAATATTTGTTGTCGTTACAATAAAGGCCAGTTATGCGGCGGATACATTTTTAACGTAGAACAACAGATTAGTTATGGGGTGTCAAAATAAATAGTCGTATTTGTGTGACAAACGTGCTAGGATGAATTCGAATACAAAATATTGTAAAACGGGAGACATTGGTGATTAATCATAATAGATTTGCAGAGTGTGGGGTAGGAAAATTGACAAGTCAGTTCAAGGTTATAAAAGGTGTCAGGTGAGTGGCTAGTACAAAGTGGTCTGTGTTAAACAGGAGATAGTATAATTAAAACACAGACCACTTAGTACTAGCCACTAACCTGACACCTTTTATAACCTTGATCTGACTTGTCAATTTTCCTACCCCACACTCTGCAAATCTATTATGATTAATCACTAATGTCTCCCGTTTTACAATATTTCGTAATCGAATTCAGCTAGCACGTTTGTCACACAAATACGACTATTTATTTTGACACCCCATAACTATTAGAAGACGGAGATTATCTGAAAAATGTGTTGTATTTGCACTATATATTTCGAACAATCCGACCACACATTTACTTGTCAAGTCAATATATATGGAAAAGTTAAATTAAACGAAGTGACAAAAAAAGAACTAAGTATAATTAATACAAACGTTTGGTAATCCAATCAAATAAGGATTACCAACGTAGGTTAAGAGTAATGACAAACTGTTTTTGAATACACAAGGGGGCATAAGATTATGTCACTTTGTTTAATTGAACTTTTCCATATACATTGACCCCATAACTAATGTGTTATTAAGAACACAATATTCAGCGAAGAGACTCTTTTCAACGAATTTATTATGAAGCTGTACAATCGTATGTATAGGGTTTTTTATAAAAATTATATCCAGTGAGGGAATTAGGTCGAAGGTGTGAATACATGAAATAATAATAGTATGACATGCAATTAAAATATTTGTGATAATATTCATAGTTTAATGTCAAGTGGTAAAATAATTAATGTCGTATATAGAATAATGCATAAGGTGTGTAGAATTTTGGAAAGGGGTACATAATTATAAGATTAGTAGACGAATATAAAATGTTACATAATCTGTTATTCTAAGTTAAAAATGTATCCGCCGCATAACTGGCCTTTATTGTGACGACAACAAATATTATATTTCACAAATAGAAGAATTTCAGTGGACAGTAAGATTAGAATTAACAAGTGCACACCCTGATTTCCATTAGCTTCAAACTTTCGTGGTAATACAGACTACAAGGTCACTCCATATCTTTCTGGCCAGAAGACTCGCAGAGTATATTCAACTGTAATTAACAGCATTCAGACTTCCAGAGAATTAAGTTCAAACTGCCTGTACCTGGAAAACATTTCACTGTATTTATGAGTGCAGGTGACCATAGAACACGAGCCCAGGATTGACTGAGTTGTCTAATATGTCAGTCATCTGCTAACATATAGGGAAGAACAGTATTCAGCGGTCGACAATGAATGTTTAGAGATGATGTGTACGTTAGATTAATGCAGAGCTCATCTACTAGGTCAAAAGTTATACATGGAAAGTGATATCTAGGCTCTATG